AGATTACTGAAAAATCTCTCTTTTCTCAGGCCATCTATTAGTAACAAATAGGTTTGCTCATGGAAAACAACAAACCCTACAAGTTTAGCCTAAATTATTAAGATAAAACAACTAAGCTACAAGTTTGCTCATGTAATTATACTAAGAAACTTTACGAGAGTTTCAGAAGCTCAGTAAACCGAACCTAATCAAACGAGGCCGTGACACCTCATCGGTATTTCCGTGCCCCAGCTGTCCCGAGCTGTTAGAACCAAACGAGTACACATTTCCACCGTTAGTCACGACAAGACTGTGACCTGGGCCTGCAATTGCCTGGGCCTTCTCCCTTCTATAACACAGCTCGCCAGCCAACAAATACCTCAAGACCAATTTCCAAGAGCCCCCACACATCTGCTTCAAATCACGGCTCTGCTCAACCGTCATCAATTTAAACACGGCCCGTTCACGGCACATGTCCAGGGCCGCCAGCTCGGCCAACGAAAGCTCATTATCAGGTGCAAAATTCGCAGGCTGCCTAAAGAACCAACACGTAGCCTGCGAAAAGGAGCTTTATTCAAGCCAACCAAGGATTTTTTTCTTTAAAATGGTGAATATAACACACTTGCCTCGAGTTTTGCAAGGTCCTGAGGGTTTATGTTGCAGGCTGTGAGGAAATGGAGGACGATTGAAGGGTTGGCTGACAGAGGGAACTCGCCCGGGCCCACACTGCCGAAACAATGACGATTTTGCCTTTGATGGGTTATGGGCTGAGGGGAAAGGGAAGCTATTGATTGCTCCGCTATGTTGAGGCACTGAATGCTCGAGGGCCCACTAGCGGTTGTATCCATGAGGCCCAGATTATGCAGAGCCAGAAGAACTTGGCCTAAGTGAAGAATTCAAATTTGCTGAAAAAAAATAAAACTTTAAGATTTTCTTGTTTTCTTCATTCCCAATTCTTTACTGAAACAGGGATTATTAGAAATGCAGTATAGGTATTACCGTTGAATCATACATAGAGCAAAGATGCATTAGGCCTGCAATTTTAGACAATGTGATTCATCAAAAAAAAAAAATGTTAATTGTAAAATGAAGCATCAAACAGTATAATGCATTTTGCAAAGAAGTGTTTCAAAGTAAGAGTTGCAATCAGCTTTTTGCCTATTCAAATCTCTGAGGTGAAGGATTTTGTACACAACAATTACAATGCAGCAGAGTTACAGTATAAAAGTGACAGCAAATGGCCGTTCATTGCGGTTAACAGCTAAAGGTCAACAATGCGGCACTTTTCGAACTTGGCTTAAACGTCGAGTTTCGCAAGGATACAGCCAAATTATAGAGAGCATCAAATGAAAACATGTCTCAACCGAAAGATGTAACAATCAATAGGGAAAGGAAAAGAAAGAACGTGAGAGAAAATATAAATATATATATAAGCTTTGATTGTACGTTTGCTGAAAAAGAACACCAGAAGAATACTGTTTGAAGAAGCATACGGAAACTTAGACAAATGATATTCCCCCCACCAAAAGGAACCCCAGAAAGAGAGAAAAAAAAACTCAAAACATTAAAAAAGGTGAAATTTTTTCATGATCAAGCATATCATCCAAGAATCCCATAAAAAAAATTGTTGTCAGAAAGCCATACATTTAAATTAGATTAGATGACAATTAAGAAAATTAAAATAAACAAAACCCAACACTAATGATCGTCTCAATCAAACAAATTTCACCATAAAAATCCAATCTTTTTTTTAACATTCTCCGATCCACACTACAGATCAAGTGATAATAATTTTTTACAACTGTCAAAAGCAAGCAGAGCACATAATAAAACCCAAGCGGCACTCATCGATTCTTCACATTCCAAAACAAAAACAGATCGAGCAACAAAAATTCCACAAACAGAAAGTTTTTTACATGCAGAAAAAAAAAATGCCCAAGATTCCCCAAAACCCATATCACAGCACGTTTGGAAAAACTTCACTAAAAAACCGATCGAGCTGGAAACAGTCCATAATTGTTGGGTTCGTCAATCCGATCAAGAAAATTTTTTCAGGTGATTTTT